ATAGACAGACAGACATACAGACAGACAGACTGACATACAGAGGTTTCTCTGGAACATAGATCATTACGGTCTGAGGAGAATGGCCCTGCGAGGAGTTACAAGGGGATTTGGCCGACGCTCGACACTCGGGGGAGGGGCGAGATGGATATACAATCAGACTGTTACTGGTACCATCGGAATTTTAACTCTTCGCTTGCTGCTGAAGATGGGGACGGAGCGCTTATGGTAGTGTCCTGAGTGCTGTGATGTCAATTTTTAATTCAACATCCTCTGGATGTTTTAGTATATATGACATATTTTTTTTATTCATTATCAGCAGTTGATGTTTTTAGGATACTTCACTGAGGTAGACGGTGGAAAAGAAGAAGATGTTTTAAGGTGCTACTGGCTATTGTTCTTGTGTGTGGATGTAATATATCTTTAATGCCATCAATCCCTATTTTCTTCGACACCTTATTGCTCATTAGATGCAAATATGAATGACTGTAATTCAGCTCATCTCCAGAACCTCTAAAGTGGCAGTTTGTGTGATATTTTTTTAATTAAAGACCTTTGTCGAAACGTATATTTGTGCGAGTCCTTTCCATTCTTTCCTTTTGGTTTTCTAGTCCTAGTGTTGTAATTATTATTTCTTAGATGTGCTGTTATTCTGTATTCACATTTAATCACTTATATTCCATTTTTACAATTCATCAGTTACATTTTGCGCCAAAATCGAAAAATTCGGGATAGAGACGTTGGAAATGTTAAAGACAGCATACAGCAATAAGTGTTTCAGTCGATCGATGGTGTTTAACTGGCATTAGGTCTTCAAGGAGGGTAGAGAAGATGCTGAGGACGAGAGACTGATGCGTCCACCTCCCACCACCAAAACAAAGATAAACGTGGACCGTGTTAGAGACAGTGTGAATAGTGATCGACGAAAGAGTGTTCAATTAATCGCGGGAGAACTAAACGTGCCCAAAACGCAAGTTTACGAAATTTTGACCCAAGAATTGGGCATGCAAAAAGTGTGTGCAAAGTTGGTGCCAGAGTGCTGACAGACAATCCAGATAGTAAGGTGTACTCATAAATCCAGGATTCATCTCCTGTGATTACCGTCCGCAGAAAGTTTGGCTGAGCTGCCACACGCTCCAACAAGTCTTGTGAAATTGTTTCACCACACGTCATTTGTACAGGGATTCACTACTTCCACGATCCGCATGCTCCAACTGCTTGTCGACAACTGTGACTGGTTGCAACGCGTAGCTAGCACCCCACCGACCCATAGATTTCCCCATTCACGGCGCCCGTGCGAAACTACTACAGCGCTTGTCCAGTTACTTTCAGGACAAACCCTGTATCGTCTTTTTTTTCGCAAAGGATGAGGCGTCTGGTCAAAATCACGTCCATTTCGTTTACTCCAGAGCAGAGCTTTTTTTTTTTCTCTCTAAAATAAAAAGTGCGGATACTCACCCCAAAATGTTTGAAAAGGCACTCGCGTATGAATGAATGAAATGTACTAGCAGCAAAGCGAAAGGGGTATCCTGTAATGGAGGAAAGGGAGAAGATAACTATCAAGGGCTATCCTCCGAATAGGTTAATTGCGTATTCTTTACAGGACGTTGCAGAACTAACCTCAACAGCCCCTGGCAGTTGTGTGGTTTTTCTAGGCAAATTTACGTTCAGTAGTTTGCCATTGCTTTCTGGAAGGTCGGCTTTCTTGATACCACTGTCGAAACCAATGCAAGGCGCATGGCCCGCAGCTGGGATCGAACCCGGCATTACGAAGCGTTCGCATCGACTTAGCCACAGAGCCGACCTCCTCAGAATAACGGCCACATGTAATATCGGCCAAAAACAGGGTCTCAGTCACATGTAAATTGCAGACTTCCGGCGACTATACCACCACCGCAGAGAGTACCTCCGCGCAGCGGTAAACTAGATTGCTGGGACTCACGAGCAAAGCTGCAGGAGATGCAGAAGCTGCTGCTCGTGAGTCCCAGCCATATAGTTTAGCTCCGCGCCGCGGAGATACTCTTGGCGGTGGCGGTATAGTCGCCGGAAGTCTGCAATTTAAGTTGCCGGAAGATCACAATTTACATGTGACTGAGGCCCTGTCAGGGTTTTTTTATGGCCGCCATAATATGTGGACGTTATTCGGAGGATAGCCCAATCAAGGATAATATGGAAATCTACTCCTTGAATCAATCTCGACAACGAACCTAAAAGAGCTCTGACAAATAATACCACGTGGCGAGTGGAAGCCACACCCCAACTTTAAGCTGCCCTAGTAAAAAAAAAAAAAAAAGAGAGAGAGAGAAAAAGTTCGTTTAGGCGGGAGAGAAGGAATCAAGAACTGATATAACTATACTTTGGAATATCCCCATGCATGCTCCGACCCCTTTTCAGAGTCGACATGTTAACAGTACCAGTTGCAACCTGGCCAAAAGTCTGCCAGTTTTCCCCCTCAGTGTGAATTATTTTCCAAAGTCTGCTCACACCCGTTGAAGTACTCTTTCGGTGTACGGATTCTCTGTATCTTCTAATGCACTATCCATTTAATCCTAGACAGCCTTCACCAAGTCGGCTTTATTATAAAGTAGCTCATCGCTCAGATGTGCGACATCTGTTAATCTATCAGCCTGCTCATTGCCTCACATACTTGAATATCCCGGACAGAATATCCATGATATGCTGCTCCTGATCTGAGTCGAATGATGCACGCGACTCTGCCCGCAGGACACACATTTCAGCTTTACGAATCATGCTCTGTGAGGTCGTTACAATTATATATCATTCTGTGCTGCCCTCCAGCGGCCGTTATTGCCTCCACCTCTACTCTCATACTGAATGTGGTGACGTTTTACACGAGGCTGTCAAGTTTTAAAGTGTCCATTCGCCGTTGCAGTAAAAACCCACCCACTCTTTATACCGCTCACTCATAGACATTATGTATATAAACAGATGGATCTCTAAGTAAAGTAAGTAAAGCTTTACTTAGAGACCCATTTGTTTATATACATATTGTCACATAGACTAAATTTTCATTGTCTATGTGACATTATATGCGACCTATATTTTTTATAGACCAATCCGCACAAGATAGGTGATGTGGTCAGCATCACACCGGCCGCCTTTACTTCCCGGGACTGCACCCGGTACCCACTCAAGGCTTGGTCGACCTGGGAGCCAAGGTCACTTTTGAAAATTTTCCGGCTCTGCCAGGGAGCGAACCCACGACCTTCCGATCAGCGGCGAGCTGATAATCTAATAATCTTAAACTTATCTTTTGTTTTCTTTAGTATATGCTTCACATCGTCTACTGCTACGATATTTTCATACATCTTATCCCTGGTTATTCTAGTAAGACCACTAACAGCAGTTTTTCTCAGTGTGTACTTCAAATCGTTTCAGAAAAGCCTTTTTTTTCTCAGTCAGTTGTCAGGACCTCAGTAAATCATACCAACTGTGTTGGGCCGCTCCTTTGGGTTCACCTGCCTATGCAGTTTCCAGAACGTACCCATTTTTCTATCTGCTAAATCTCGTTCACAAACTGCTTCCACTTCACAATTACCCACTGCATATCTTTAACATGTTTCTTCTCAAGCATTCAGCTCATAACCTATCGTTAGTAACTTTCTCTTTTAGCCCTAATCCATTCCTGATTTCACCCATGCATGCAACACAGTCTATAGCATCCTGATCCCATGAACTGACCTCAATACCCCTATCATCCATGGCCTAATTGTACACATCTTTACATTGCAGTAGAAGCCAACCTCAAATCTTCTATCATCATCATGTAGCAAGTCCTTTTCTGAACGTCGCTCTCATCACGGTCTGTCTGGGAGAAACGCTGTCTCTCCCACCTTGTGCACTTTAATATCCAAGCAGTCACTGATATCCTGTGTCCATCTTTGCGTTGTTCGGCCCCTGCCCCTCCTTTCTGGTACCATGCCTTATGCTTTTATTGTTTTCCAATTCGTCGTGGTGCTTGATATGACCAAAATTTTTTAACTTCCGATATAAGATGCTGTTTTTAGCCAATCTTCTTTGATTCTATTTATTAGCCAATCTTCTTTGATGTTCAGATCTTTTAGAAAGTCAGTATTTCTTCTCTTCTTTGTACATCTTTACTCATCTGTATAGGGGGTTGCGTAGTCTGGAGGCATGGTGTCCGCCTCAAGTGCTAGAGGTTCCGGGTTCAATCCCTGGTAAGGGCTAGGATTTTTTCACAAGGACTTGCACTTCTAGTAATTCCCTCTGGTCTCTTGGTAGTGAGATCGGACACCCGTGCCATTGTTTTGCACGCAAAAAATCCCCTGGCAGTTGGAAATCGAAAAGAGTAGCCTAACGGTGCAGCCCGGGCAAAATTTGGAGGTAAAAATCTACCTAAAGTATTTCAAAATCCAAGCCTAGATAGTTTACAGAAATAGAGTGCAAAACACTAAGTAAAACATCATTCTGTAACACTCAGTATCTGTTCATCCTTTTATTATTAAAATGGAAATAGTAGTAGAATACAGTTGTTCTGAGATAATAGTAATAGAAAAAACTTCATTCATATCACAGCTCTTCATTTATTCACACATACCCACAAAGTTCACATAATCAGAGCTTTTTGTTTAACTCCACATTTCAACACTGATGTTCAGCCAACATTTTTAATAGTTATTTATTCTAAGACTAATGCTCTTTACAACAGAAGAAGAAAAAATATATGTCCCTTTCCCCCGTGTGGGTTCCGTGATCCTACTATGGGAAAAACAAGAATAGACACACTGCCTACCCAAAAGCATGTCGTAAGAGTCAACTAATTGGGAGCTTCCTTCGAAGTCGGAGTGCATCTGCCTGAGAGGCAAGGAACCAACAGTCTGCATACAGATCTGTCAAACGGATGCACACACAACACTCAGGTTCTGGAACAGGACTGCAGTCCAGAAGTGGACGAACAATCAGAACTTTCCGCCGGAGTTCACAGCCGGTGAACGCGAAGAAGAAGAAGAAGATATGTCCCTTTATAAATGTCTGAGATCATTTTCTAAACTGTAGATCTTTGTCTTCAGA